TAAAGACCCATACACGCCTTTTTCTGGAGTGGGATTAAAGAATTTTACGGCCGCGGTGTCCTCGTCCGAGGGCACCTACCGTACACGCTTTTTTCTAGGGTGGCGGGAGGCCTAGTTTTTCGTAGTTTTTTCCTTAAACGGGGGAGAGACTGGGAGGCTACCGAAATTTTGGATGAACATACAACTAATTTGGGACCTTATTGAACATCAAATAAACTTGATTGAACTCATGAAATTGATATTTGAGCTTGCACGAACTCAAAGGACAATATGGGACATGCAAACTGAACTTGAACTTGAACTCGAACTGGAACTTGTACTTGAACTTGAACTTGACAAAATGCAAAATGACATGAAATTTAAGTGATTAATTTGAACTTGAATTTAACACAAACAATTTGAACTTGCATTTGGACACAAAGTGATTTATAAAAATACTTGAACTTAAATGAATTGAATTTAAACATGAAATGAATTTGAATGCAAGTAAGGATTTGAACATTAACATGAAACTTTTTGAACTTGGCTTGAACAAAGTGAGAGTGACTTATGAATTTGAAAATGATATAGAGTGTTTTAATTCAATTTGAACATAAATTAAAAAAAAACAAAATGATATGCTATAATTTGAACCTCATTTGATCGTGAATTGAACAAAAATGAGGACTTACAATTTGACCAACGAGGACCTGAATGAAAGCTCAACTAGAAGAACTTGATTCAACCTGACTTGAATAATTGAATTCAAGCAAAGACTTAGATAGTAAGGGACTCAAATTTGATATCAAGTTGGGCTTGAGCTTGAATCATACAGAATGAGATTTGATTAACAAGTACTCGATCATATCAATGCAAATGCTGAATAAAGACCTAGATCTTTCTAATGAATATCAATAATCAAATAAAGACTTACATATTTGAGCATGACTTGCTTATAATTGATTCAAGAATGAACACCAAATGCATGAAAGAAGATTATGGTGGAGACAGTGGCATGTTCAAAGGGAGACATGCAACAAATGAGATATCAAATTAAAGTTGAAGTGTGGCCCTTTCACGGTCAATGCAAGTCAGCATGCAAACTATGATCTACTCCTAAAGAGGTTGAAAGATTTGTAATGCTAACATGACTCAAGCAATAGAATTGCAAGGCTGGTGAATATGAAGAAATGCGATAGTGTTTATGCTATATGCAAGAAAATATTGCCTTTGTACAATCAATACCATTTGATTGAAATCAAATACACCAGCTCCCTAGAAGTAGAAGTAGATGATATACATCAAATACAAATATCTATGAGTCATTATAGAAGATTTATCATGCATTTGATATGTCATTTACAAGGCAAATACAGAAGAGAATTGCAACAAGTGCAAACCCCTACGAGCTACCGTAGGATACCCGTTACACTCCCAAAGTATTGTCTATAAGAAAAATACATAATGACTACAATAAATACAAATGCACATGGCCGACGCTATAAGATTTTTATGGCAGAGTAATAACCACGAACAAAGATATCATATGTGATCAACTATCTACCACCAAAGGCAGGAGATTAGTTAGTGCACTACAATCTACCTGCATAAATCATACAAGTAGTGCACGACAGTTTACATATATAGAGTAGTGAATAACTCAATTCAGAAGATGCTACGCCATGCCACCAGATCCATAACATTCACGCAAGCGGACAGAAAGCATTTATAAATATTTCAAGAATATCCCCGCACATGCACCTTAACTTGTATGCACATAGGTACACTAAAGGGGTAAATACAATCAATTCCAAACACCCGTATGGGCCCCTGTAAGTGTGTTATTGGTACACACGTGACGTCTAGGGATGCTGTGCGGGTTAATAAATGAATTCCAGTTCGAATCCGATCCTTCTATATGGATCAATAGGAGTCGACAGGGTTCGAACGACGAAATAAATATACGATTGCAACAACTGATATATTTGTTTTCATACATTCATATTAGGCCTTCAAGGCTTATAAAAATATGAATTCAGTAACAAATGCGTAGAGCCTACGAAACCCGATCCTCCTAAGTAGGAGTTGACAGGGTTTAATTATAAATTGCCCTCCAAAAACCCGCATGGGCCCCGACGGGCGTGTTATTGGTACATACGTGACGTCTATGGATGTTACGCGGGTCAATAAGTGAATTCAAGTTCGAGCATAATCATCCTAAGCAAGTAAATAGGAGTTGACAGGATTCAAACCAACGGATAAATATGCGATCACGAAGTCAACCAGAATATTTATTTTATATATTAATATTAGGCCTTCAAGACCTTTAATAAAAAAATTCACAAACAAAGGCATAAAGCCTATAAAACCCGATCCTCTATCGGCAAGTTGATAGGGTCGACAAGATTTAGTTAATGAATGACCCCACACCCCGATGATGGCCGTGTTGAATGTAAATCTAAATCGGATGGGTGATTCAAACATTTTCCAATGCCATCCAGATTCCTACAAAATTCAAAGCTCCAAAGATTCCAAAAATCTTAAAATCCAAGATGTTTTATATTGAAAATCAAACCATTAAACACTCAAAGCGAATATCCATCCATCCTCCGCAACAGTTTGCAAGGATAGACAAATCAAAATTTACTTCAGCTCACAAAGAGTCAAATGCCTAGTCGAAAATATCACTAGGATCCATTCTCAAACAATCTCCTGCCAGTAAGGACGTGGTACGTGTCCTCTAACTGGTGATTTTTGCCGCTAAATGACACCGCAGGATAAACAGTTATGACCCGGGGCCCTCTGAATCGAGTGGTTTTGCCGCTAAATGGCACCACGAAATATCGGTTATGGCCAGAGCCAGTACGTTCCTTATTAGCATCAAATCTTTGAGATATGAATCAATAAGATATGATCGATAGGGCACAAAGCCCTCTGTTAGCTAAAGTGGATTCAAATTTGTCCCTTTAGACAAACATTCATCCCAGGTCTACAAGGTCCCCTTGGACGAAGCAAACCATGGCTGCCGATAAGGATTCTTCTGTCAGGTTGGGTCGACTACCTCCTCTGATTAAGTAGACCAGGGACCACAATGGCCTGGGATGATGGAACCATAGGATCTTGATCGGGTCCATCATCCATTCCCCCACCATACACTTTAAGTGAAAGATGGTGAAATTTCTAATTTTAAATATCAAACATTTCCAAATTTCCAAAAGATAACCCAATTTCCAAATCCAAACCCAATTCCCAAATTCAAACCTATGCTGCTACTATATGCTAGATAACACATATTTTCTACGTATCTGATTGACGACTAGCCTTAATCGGAAGTTCTCTCTCATTATCGGGAGGGGTAATTAACTATAGGGGCTTGAGCCTATAGGAAACCAAAACTCAGATCATTAAGTCCTCATAAAATGAGGGCGAAATCTCTGGGTAGTGTCTTATCTACAAACCCATCTGCCTTCCAAAATTTACCCCGGAACTTAGTTCGTTAAAATTCCTTCGCAAAAGAAAAAGCAATCAACAACACGGCGGGGAGGCCGAGGCCGAATTTTCAGAGCCCACAATCATGAAGGCACCCAAATTCTAAAAGGATTGTCTATGATCAACATAATCAATATTAGCTATTCAATAGAGTGTTTCAGATTTCACCTATATTTATGATGTTACCATTCTAAACAATTATACATGGGCCCACACCCTCAACATTGAAAAAAGGGAGGGGGAGCTAGAGATTGAACCTTGACTTAAAGTTCAATTGTCTGACTAATTTTGTCAGTCCACCGTCGTCAAACCATCTCCGAGAGACCACGACCAATGGATTGCTGCCAATTGGACTATTGTCATCTGACTATCACCATCATACCACAATTTATTTTCATGTAAGACTTCAGAATTGTCTTTGTTACCACCAACATTGATGCTTGCCATCACCTATAAGACAAGATGTGTACTGCTGACATCAACTCTTACTCATGATGTTAACAAGAAGATTTATAGTAGACTTTTTGATTTCTGGTCTCCTCTTCTTAAAAGAGAACAATAAAACAAATAGCAAGCAATCTCTTCGAAATAGCTTCAACGCCATAAGTCTCTTCCAACTTTCTTCATAGAATTTATTATCTATACCTTGTGTTTGCTATATTGTTTCAATACCTTTGTCAATTATAGGGAACGACGTTATTTGTAACCAACAACTTGCTTAGTGGAATCATTTCAGTTGGGATAGACAATGGTTTTCCCTTTCTAGTTCTTTCAAGTTAAAATCATATTGTATCTCTTAGAACTCTTCTTTTATTTGTATGCATGTTGCATCTTCGTATAATTCTAAGATATTACATTATTTCTCTGTCTCCGCTCATGTAACAATATTATATTTTTCGTTAGTTGCTATCATTTTTTTCCATAACCCATATGCTCAAGGATTGTTTTTGCTATCATGGAAAGGGTTTTCTAAACAATGATTTTTTGAAGTGCTGACTGTGCCAAAAAAGTGAGATTATCAGATGAATTATTACTTTATTGACCTGGAACGATTTGCTCACTAAGATAATATCGAATTAATTAAAAATATGAAAAAAATCTATTGAGGTAAACTCTTATACCTTCTCTTCCACAAATCTATTGAGGTAAACTCTTATACCTTGTCATCCACCTTGTTGTGCTTGTGTACCATAGTTATCAGATTACATTCTTGTTGCTTTTATTACTTTTAATGTTCTATTTGAACAAATTGTCTATTTAAAATATTCTAATTTTCATTTATCTTCATACTTAAAAAATTAATTAATATTTCAATGATTATATTTGTTGCATTCTTGGGTCTTGGTTTTGCCACTACATATTCCTGCGGTTAATGTCTTCCTATTTTACCAGATTACTCTGAAGCATCCTAATATGTTAGTGAAGTTTCAGTGGTAATCATAAATACTGCAGGATGACAATATCTCGTTTTATTTAGAAATACACTAAATGGAAATATTGAAGCGATGTTAGAAATGAAAATGCTGTGGCAGGTTTTAGGGCAGAATTCCTCAATGCTGTTTCTGGGCTTCAAAGCTCTCCATCAGCAGGATTGTTTATAGACTCATGCCATGCCCATTGTCAGTCTGGAAGGCAAGCTGTCTGGCTAGATAGTGGCTCTACCATTGTAGATAACAATGTAAGTTTCTCAAATGCCAGCTCTTCATCAACTCTACATATTTGTTTATGAACCGAACGTTCAATCTTGCATTTTTTTAATATAAAGTTTTTACTTTTATGATCATGATTTATGCATCTATTCCTTTGTGAGGATGGTGCATTGCAATAGCTTTTGTCTTGAAAAATTATTTGATATTGCCGTTGCAAGATAAAAGTTATTGTAAACTAAATGGGTTGATTGCGATCAAATGAACTATGAGCGTGTTCTTAACAGAGAAAGGTAATGTTTTACTCACCAAAATTTTTAATACCAGGTTAACACATGTGATAGTAAAATGGTTAAGTACAAAATGAACTCGGACTTATGTTTATTTTCCTATTGATCTAGTGTTAAGAATTTGTGTGAAACATTACTACCTTGAATTGGCTTATGATATTCCTAGCCAACTATTTCTTTTAATCTAATAGTAGGTAATTAAATTTCATGAAGTCCTTGAAATTGGCATGATATTTCATTTAGGCCCATTTTAAATTTCTTTTTCCTAGTTACTCATATTTCCTCGTCCCCTCATGAGTGTTCCTCCCGCATTTGATGGCTACTATGAATTTTTTTTTAAAATAGTGAGAAAATTGTAGCCAAATAAAATTATGTTTCCGTCTAAAATGTAAAACTATGAAAAAGTTGTGCCAAATGGACTATTAGGGCTCATTTAGTTGCTTATACATAGAAAGCACATTTTTAGCGTTTACTTTGATATCTAATAAAATAATAAATTAAACTCATTTTTATTATTTTTCAAAGCATGAATTCTAACTTCAACCAAACAAATGAGCCGTTATGATAGTCTACAACTTTTGAGTCAATTAAGACAAAATTACACACACATCACATACGTATGTTCTAAATTCAAAATCTCTTGGTTAACAGACAGAGCTTTCAACCAATAGATCAAGATGAACTGTTTAGTTTTTTTTTTTAATTTTAACCCTATTCATTTCCTGGTGCAGCCAATAGGAAAAGCAGTTGCAGATTGGTTCTATGACAGGACAGCCTCTAAGCTGATTGACAACTGTTCTTACCCTTGTAACCCCTCCTGTCATGATGTCGCTGATGATTCTTAGAATATTGAATCATCCTTTGATATATACATCTACTTGATCTATATCCTGTTTCCTAGTTTTACTATTGAGGAACTAAGCTGATTGAAAATAATAAATTATTTCTTCTGTGGAAGTAAGTAGAAATCTCAATGGCATTACTATTTATGAATGAACATTGAGCAGCTTTCTATGCAGAATGTTTCCAGTTAAGTAATTAACATTGTCACTATTGATTGAGGTTAATAAAAGCATGAATGCATAAAAAATTTGCATTGCCATTCTCCAATCTATCTTGAGCAGCATAAGCAGGTCTCCTCTTTTTTCTCTTTTCAATTGTTTTGCAGGTATTAATAAGTTTATTTATTAATATTTAATTTAATTAGTAAAATTGGGAATTATTATTATTTAATTATTTAATAATGATTTTATCGATTAGTTTAATTATTTTAGTTTATAAATTGCAGATATACGAGCCCTTTGGAAGCAATGCAGGAAGGAACTTATATCTATGTGCAGTAGCTGTAACTTACCTGATATAAGCTCGCTTCCGGTCTTTGAGAAATCAACATGCCTTTGTTTCTCTATTGCACAATCTTTACAAAAGATTGAAAAAATTTTTTTGGAGTAAGGACTATTTAGATATTTTATGCTCATATGATCTATCTTTGGTACCACAAATAAGCTTTACTCAATTTTTACGTTGGTGGTAGAGTAGAGATTGTAGTCTTGCTGCACAAAATAATCATCAAGGTTCTTTTTTATTACTTTTTTAAGCTTCAACTTTGAAAGTGAGATGTCATCCTTCTACCACTAATAGTCTGATGGATATTATGTTTGTCATTAAGCCAGGGATGTGCTTGACTTTGTTAAGCCTCTAAGTATTGTAATTAATTTTCTTAATGATTGCATTTATAATGCCCACAATGCTCAAAGGAACATCATAAAAAAGGATCACTTTATAATATTTTACATTAAGTTTTCATTTTGGACAGCTTTACGGTTTATTAAAACAACTTTCTAATGCAGAAATATTTTAAGTAAAAATTTTCTATTAAAATGCTGCTATGAAAAAAATAAGATAGATGCTCAAAATGAAATATAAAACTATTGATGTAATACCAAATGCAAGGAGCTTTGCAAGAAATTAAAATTGAGTTGGCAAAGAAATTACAACTAATAACTTATGGTGATAGCAAGAAAATCATTAAAATTTCATAGTTATCAATTAGCTTAGGCGAAGAAGTATGTAGATTAACCAAAACTTTCAGACAATAAAAAATAGTAGCAACACTAAAAGCTATTACAACAATCCGCCATTTAATAACGAGAAGTTCACCTTGGGGAAATACTCACTCAACTATACTAGGCTTTGCGGGAGAAGAATTTCAGCACACCATACGATGTCACGAGGAAGGTTGTGATGCCAAGGGTCTTGAGCCACGGAGAGGTCGACGATGACGCGGAGGGCGTGAATGCTGGACTTTCGAGACTCCAAGTGTGCTTTGCAAATTTTCGGTCGTAGATGCTCGCAAGGATTGGTACGACTCTTTCCAAGTACTCTTCTACGGTGGTTTCGTCTTCAAATCCTACGTCGAAGCAAGGTGACCGTAGGATATTGATGCTCCCGTCGGCGTTGAACACTAGACCCCACTCAAGCTCGGGATCCGCCATTCAACATTGAAGAGAATTAGGGAGAGAGGTGCCGTCGTCTCTTCCTCTTGCTGAAATTTCCCACGAGAGGGAGTGAGAGGGGCGGTCGGCCAAGACAGGGAGGAGTGGGCGGGTGGATGGGGAGAAGGGGAATTAGGTTAAGCAAAGGAGAGAGGAAGTTACACTAATCTGAAATTAATTTTCAGAATTTGTGTGAATTGGAGGGAAAGACATTTGAAATTGGTTCCAAATTAGCAAGAGAATTAAGGGGTAATTAATGGGCATTTATGGGGCCCATTAATGAGGAGGCCGCCGCCGGCAATAGAGGGGGCAGGAGTTTTGAAAATTTCAAAACCCTGAAAATTTTGCTCTAGATTTTAAACAAGATTGGAGGGGGAATTTAATTTGAAATTGATCTCAAATTAATAGGGTAATTAATGCATTAAGTGGAGCCAATGAATTAGGCCCAATCCCAAAAGTTGGCCGGCCCGCCCATTCCATGGGGGGGAAGTTTTGTGTGAAGGGAGCCAAGGGTTTGGGTTTCCAAAATCGGCTTCATGACATTGAGGGAGCGAAATAAATTTAAATCCTTTGAATTTGAAATTTTGTCATGAATCGGAAGTTAAAAACTTTCCTAATTTGGAAGTCCAAATTTAGGAAATGTTTTCGAAATTCGAAAATTTCGAATTTCGAAGATTAGCCGTTGTAGAGGATGGGGAAAGAGGGGAGGAAGGGGGGTCGGTGAGGAGGTGGTTTCACCGGCGGAAATGGGATGGTGTGTGAGCACAGCCGGCGGGTGGGGGCTTTGGACGGTGGCGTTTTGGAAACGAAGAAAGAAGCGGAAGACGGGATAAAGCCACGAGCCCACGGACTCTTCCATGACTGGTGGGTGTTGTTTTGCCCTCACCTTGGGCTCTCCATAGAACTCACACAGAGAATCTAGGAGGATAAGAACTCCCACAAGAGATCTTCAAGAGGGAACTCACAAAAAGGGGGAAAAGGAACACAAGAACCATAATTTTCATTCAATAATTCATTATCCCATACAATGATACATTGGGACCCAACTAAATATAAAAAGGCGATCACGATATATAAAAAGATAACAAGCAATAAAAGCATAAATATGAACACCTATATAGACTAGAATCCCCTCGGGGCCCTATAAAAACATGATCTTCACTCACTATCGTACTCACTTTACAGAGTAGGTAAATGCAGAGCGATTAAACCTGATCCCACAATATTTTCACTTGAAAACTTTGTGAACACAGTATTTATACAAGTAGCAAACTGACGCATGTAAAATATACTCCAATAATAACAAAAAGTACTCAAGAAAAAAGATCACGTCAAATAAACACTTTCAGCATTTATACCTGAGGTGCCAAGATCACCATCACAAAGTCACAGAAAAGAACTGCTAATCAACACCAGAATCACGAGGAACGAGTGAGCGAATAACCCTCAAAAGCATCCACAGCTAAATCA